AACATCAGTGCATTAACATTTACATTCATATTCGATAAAATATGAACATTTTAACATGAACATGAGAATCATAAGAAGGATTTGGTTTTAGTTTTCTTTGAGTTGAATACAACACGGTGCATATTTTGAATTAAAGAGTTTATTTTCTAAATCAATGAGAATCGATTATGGAATCGGTATTGATCAATTCTTTAGCTGATCTTTAAAAAGACTGACCTGCCGATTCTGATTTTGGCCGATTCGTTTTTATCTGTAATGTCACTAAATATAACAAGAAAGTAGCTGAACTGGTAAAAGTGTTGTTAGCGACAAACGTCCAGACGTGGCCCGGTGGGCGGGGCTAATGGCGCGTTCAAAACGCGCCTGACGTTTCCAGCTGTAGGCGAGCGTTGAGAGGAGCCGCTGTTTTCCTCTGTCCATGACACTGAGAGAGTGACACCAAAATGTGATGCAGTGAAGCTTCTGCAGTCGTAACGCAGGATCAGATGAACATTTTGTGTGCAGCTGGTAACAGCACGATGTGCATCGGACGTTCTTTCCTTCCTTTCTTCTCCCAGTTACTGTGAACAGATTAAATATTGAGTGTTTTGGTTTTATCTGCTGAATTATCCGGTGTTTAAATTCCCTAGATAATTCAGAGGTGTTGTAAGTTTTGTGAGCTGTTAGTGTTGTTTGATGACTTGCTAACCTGCGTTAGCCAGGCTAGCAGGAGATTTCCTGGCAGGACACCAACCGCTGGCCTCTGCGTCACGCCGCCGAGTCTCTGATTGGTTGATGCTCCGTGTCGAGCAGCGAAAGTTCAGATTTCTCAACTGCAACGTTGGACTTGTTAGATACTCAAAACGCTTCAATCGCGCATGAGACACGACGTCGACGCGCCGTCGACACGACGTCGTGTGACGTCGACGCGCCGTCGACACGGTGCCTCCACATCGACTTTGGATGTAAACCAGACGCTCTTGACGTTGAAATTGCGTTTGGTTTGAACGCATCTGAACAGTCGAACCTGTGACTGCAGAGCTGAAGAGAACAGCGGTCCATTTTTAGACGTGTGAGGGAGAGAAGATCAGTGGATAATATCGGCTTCCCATGTAAGTATCGGCCGATCTCCCACAGTTAGATGAATCGGTGCAGCTTGTAGTTTTATTGGTTTCCTGGTCGAGGGGCTGCAGTGAAAGGAGCAGCATATCAACTTACTGACGTCGATCCTGGTAAAAATGTCTTTGAACCAAAACTTAAAAACAACCTTGGCTTTTCGAGCGTGACTCTCTGCCGACGTTAGCGTCATCGCTGCAGCATCCCCGCCGCAGGCGTTGGCGCCGGCTGCTTGTGTCTCTTCTTCGTGGCTTTAATTTTTTTGTGGAGAGTTGATGTCATTCAGACTCTGGTTTAGGCCTCTTGTGTATGATTGTGTGTATAGAGTGCTAATGAGGGGGAGCGGGAGGAGGATGCGGAGTCGGTGGGATACAGCTGGACGGAGCGGGAGACTGTGGTGAATAGGTAACCATGGCAACTCTGCCGGCTAAGATTTCAATGTGCAGAGAGGAACGAAAACGGGGAGAGCGAAGAGAAGCTGCAGCGAGAATGTAAGGGAACGCGTCGGGGTGAGGGGTCAATGTGCGTCATTGTTGCAGGTTAATTTTTCATCAAACTACAAGGTCAGTGCAGCATTTACGCCGCACAATGGACGCCACAAACAGGGCGGGGGGTCAGAGGTCAGGAACGCTGGAAGGAGGAGAGGAGAGGATTCGAGCTGGAAAAGGAGGAGAGGATGAGTTGGCAAGAGTTTGTCTTCTGTCCCTTAAATACAATATGGCCATCAAAACGATTTAGAATAAAATGAGAGAATATTTTATGTAAGTCAGAATTTATTAATAAATCAGAATGTAAAATGTGAAATTCAACAAAAATACTTAAGAAGCAAAACCATTTGAAATAAACTTTAAAACGTTTCCTGAACCATTTTGCAGACGATTTGTTGTAGTTTATTCTTTAAATGTTTTTCTCTTTGGCTCTTCAACTCTAATTGCACCGACTGAACAAAGTAAAGTTGATTTTACACGTTTGACCAGATTTGTGAAGCTATTTGTGATTTTAACTGAACTGCACCGGTGCAGAGTTATGAAATACATTTAATTCACTATATTTACATCTGTGTTTAAAAAAAAGAGACATTTAGAGTCAATTCAGCTGTTTTTCTGTATGCTATCGGTATCGGTATCAGAAGCAAAATAAAGTGAATCGGTTGAGTTCAGTCTGCGCATCTTTTACTGAGATTTAAATTAGTTTCATGTTAAGAAACATTTTGGTTAGAAATTATAGTAAATAAGAGGAAACACTTTTTCAAAAGCAGTTAAGAAGTGAACGACTTACATTCACTTGAATAACTTTATTGAAAAAATTTCTGTTTAGTATTTTTTCTACGCTGTACTTTTTACTCTTAGTTGAGTAAAATGTCTGGATTTTTTTACCCACTGAATGAAAATAAAACATGTTTTAACCAGAAATCCACCAGACTAAAGTTTTTGTTGAAGTTTAATTAGTTTCATTGAAAGAAACTGATTTTGAAATTTTTGGTTTGATTTTCTTATTTTTATTACTTGTATAAAAATGAATTATTGTCATTTTGTCCTTAAAATACCAAAAATTCCACTTCACTTTGTTCTTTGGTCTGTGATGTATTTTTTAAATATGAGATGATTGATCATTTGATCAGTTACTCTTCTAGGAGAAACTTTTCACCAAATACTTTTCTACTTGAGTAAATTTCTTTTCCCTGTAAGTTGAGCGAAACATGTTGAAGTTCCTCTGGGTGCTGAAAGTGTTTGCTGTTTTAAAGCGACGGCCTCTGGCCTGCTGTCAGCACCAACTAGCCTCACTCTGCGATGGACTCGCTCCTCCCAACATCACCGCCACCATCTTAACCTCGGCTTTCTTTTTTTACAGCTTTCCACTCAGATGATGTCTACCTGAAATAGCTCCGGCACTTAAACCTCGCTGCGCAGCGCGAGGGGGGGCGCAGTGTGCGTGGAAATTAAAACATGTGAAAGAGGTGGTCCAAAAATAACACAGAGCTACTCTTTCTCCATCAGTGGCGGCGGCGGCGGCGGGGGATACAGATGTTGCAGCAGTCGCCGTCTCCGTGCCGACTGCTGCGCTGCAGCTTGCAGTCCCGCTGCAGCAGCAGCTGCAGCAGAGATGCTGTCGCCTGTGTGATTTATTGCCGTGTCCTTGTGTGTGTTTTAATGTCATTGAACTTCGGCGTGCGTGTTATTGATCAGTCGACCAATCGGAGCCCAGCTCCCCGTCTTCTGGAGGAAAACTCCACCTGTGTTGTCTTTTAGCTCCATCTCTTCGTTTTGTCTTGTCATCCTCATCCCTCCATCTCCATCTGCTTTATATTCATCTCTCTGTTGAGCCTTGCTCACTCCTCTCCTCTTTCTCTCCCAGATTATTAATATTAATACCTCTTATTTCCTCTTTTTTCCCCAACTACTGATCTCTTTTCTGCTCCTTCCACTATTTATACCTCCATCCCTTCCACCCAGCCTTCCCTCCATCTGTCTCCATCTCCATTTCTTTCTTCTTGTCTCTCTTTCTCTCCGCAGCTGTTCAGTATTCATCTATTACTGTACTGTTGATAATTCCCTCCTCCGCCTGCAGCCATACACTCATCGATCAGATTAATAATCCTTCTCTTCTTCACCATCTCTGCACTCCTTCCTCTGGATGCTCAGCGTGTCGGACGGGTTTGTCCCATCATTACAACCATCATCATTAACAACCGGATGCCCTTATTTGGGGTTATTGGGGTCTAAATAACCTGCAGGGGGGCCATTCTTGACCGGTCATCTATTAGCAGTAATGTGCAGTGGGCTTTTCGGCAGCGTCCTGCGGGCCCTGAGCCTTCAACGCCGCGTTCGCACAGGAATCAGATTAGCATTTTGGTCTGCTGCGGGGAAAATGCCACGGGATTGGACGGGCTTATTGTTTCAGGGTTTGGACCTTTTAATGAGTCTGAGTTTAATTGCAGTTGATAAGTGTAGCATGTTCGCACATCAATCCATCATTGTCGTATTAATTGTTATACCTTGGTATAATTAGTGTTAACAAATGAGAGCGGGGCAGAGATGGCTGGAAGCCGCTGCCTCACCCTGGTGATGTTATTAATGGCTCTCATAGTTGGGACCAAATGTCCCGTTGCACCCTGTCAGCACCGTTATGTTTGGCTTTTTAACTGATGGTTTGTTCACAACATCATATTTCATTATTTTTAGTAATTGAAAACAGCAGCTTTTCTTTAAAGTCCTTCGTTTTAGGCCCGTGTTCCTGATTGATGCAGATGATTCTTCAGTTGGTTCATCAACGCTTGTGTTAGAGGTTTTAAACGGGATCTGCTGTCCAAACGTTTTGCATGTTTCTGTACTTCCACTTGTGACCACTGAGCCACAATCAACTCTAGCTGTTATTTTTTTAAAATCAGATTCATATAATCAGACTTTAAATTAGCCTCATAGTTGCATTTTTTTATAGATTTCTGGAAAAACCAGCCAAATAACCATTTTTCTGCAGAGACTCCATGAGTTATTTTGTTCTTTAATAGTTTCAGGTTGAATTAATGATGCACATCCATGACAAAATGGATTCTCTTTAATGTTTACTTCAGTCAGAAAAGCCACATGTTTCCTATTTACTCTGCATGTTTTGTTGTCTAGACCTTTTAACAATTAGATACACCAGAATCCTCTTGCTGTGCGATGGGATTTGATTACTGGCAGAATATCTGTTCAGGGATTATGTGGGATTTGATGTGAGCAGCGCCACACAACTTCTAATACTTCTGACAGACTTTTTTTGACAATCCCTCCCCTGATAAGCTGCACTGTAGATGTCTTGGTATTGTTTGTTTTGTTCGATGTGTGCTGGTGAAGACACAAAGTGCAGTTTGTCTCTAATATCTGCTTCTCTCTCTCTTTTTCTCTTTGTTTTGCTCATCGCAGTAACTCCTGGGCTCTTCTCACTTCACAAAACGCCTCACTCAAATCTCCTGACAGCCCAAGGAAAAAAAAGAGAGTAGCATCTGTTTATCTGCATACTTCTATGTTCAAGAAACAAGAGGAGAAAACAGAGACTGACAGAGGACAAATGAGATCTCAGAGGATGTGGAATTAGAGGGAACAAATTGATACCGGAGGACCGAAGGGAAAGTGAACCACAAATCCACCGACGTGGAGCCACCTCACCTGTATCTCCGGATTAAAGAGCAGGGTCATGTCCCAGTTGCCATGCGCATTGCCACGCTGACCTGCCTTCCCGGCCCTTCCCCCTTCCTCTTTCTATTGGTCCATCTGCTCCTGCGGCTCCTTCTCGTCCTCCACGGGCCGCCGCTAGCGGGAGCCGCCTCCACCTGCCCGTCCCTCTGCACGTGCTCCAACCAGGCCAGCCGGGTCATCTGCACCAGGCAGAACCTGGAGCAGGTGCCCGAAAGCATATCGGTCAACACTCGATACCTCAACCTGCAGGAGAACTCGATACAGGTAAATATCGCCTTTGAGCAAACGTCTGGAGACAATGGCTGTTTCTACCTGGACTCCTTTTAATATGATTTATGGTTTTCACACAGTGACCAAATATTTGACCTACAGAAGTTCATATTTGTCTCTCAGATTTATGTAAACAGTGGCAACAGAGGCTCCTCCCCTTCCTTTAAAAAAGGCGGGAATCACCAAAGCAACCAACTGCCCTTTTGTTTGTCACAAATGTTTACATGAAAAATTGGTTCACTTGGGGGCAAATATTGCAATATTTGTTGCCGCATCCCAGATTCAGTGGCTGTGGTTCTTTCACACTGTTGCGTGTCAAACCTGTTTCCATCCTCACCTGTGGTGGCGCTAAAGAACCACTCACCAAAACGACACAAAAACCTCTGAAGAAGACACAGAGCGCAACTTCCATCGTGACAAAATGTAAACAAAAATGAAGTGATGCCAGATGATAGCAGTTGTAGGATTTCTCTTCTGTCTTTGGTAAAAGTCTACAACTCATTTCTCCTTCTAGCACTAAACTACCGTGTTTGTTTTGGTTGTATTTACCCAGAATGCCCTGCGGTATTGTTATCTTCCTGCTTTTGGAGTGGAGTTCACTTCAAACAAACCTAGACTGAGGTTTACATTTGGAGCAGAGTTGCTGTTTTGGGATTATGCATTCACACGTCCCCAAATGAACCGGACCTTCAAAGCAAACAAACTAAAGTTTAATTATAAAGGACTAAACAAAGCTGGTGTGAAAACACCCTAAATTTAACGAGGAGTGCATCATTACCATGCAAAGTCGATCTGCAGTTTGTGAACAAAGTAAATCTTCCTGTTCATGTTACACCCTAACCTTTATGTATATGTGCCTCGACTGCAAAAGGTTCTTGCACACGTATTTATTTTTACAAAAAGAGGTTAAAATGATAGCAAAGGACACAAGCATCTGCTGAACTGAGGGAATGTTTAATGAAACCAAAGCCGGCCTTTACATTACCAGTTTGTCTGGATGGTGTGCGGCTGCAGGGCTGCAGGACTGAACCTCAGATCATTTATACACATATGCCAACACTAAGCACAAATTCAGTTCCTTCATATATGAGGAAACTGAATTTGTGCTCAGTTGATTCCTCTGCAGTTTTTTTGTTGTTGTAATTGGATTCATCCTCATGTTGCTGACAGTGCTTTGTTCTTTTGTGGTGTTTAGAATAGTTTCCGTTACATTTTATCTAATGAAAAGCCATGAATGTCCTGGAGATTGTTAAATTTTTCCACAGCATCACTTGTAACGTTGGAGAAAACGTCTTATTAAACATTATGTGATGTTAACGCAGCATAAATGGGACATCAGGCCACTCGATTTAGACGCTGAGGTTTAAAGGGAAGCTGTTAACAAGCAGGCGAGAAATAAAGAAATAATAATAACTGTATTTATTGCATCTTGTTTTCAGCCCAGAAAATTTGATTCGGTTTGCTGTATCCTGCAGCTCCACTTGAAATGATTAAAAATCTAAAAATGTTTTAACACCTGAAGGCATCCCAGATTCAGTGGCTTATTTTTTCCTCCACTGAGTACCCTGAGAGTAAAGCCTTGACAGCTTCCACCCCCTCTTAACATCCTCACCCTCCTTCTCTCGCCTCCTCCTCTCGCTGCCTATCACCTTCTTCTGCTCCACATACAGAAAACGCGGCGCTCCGACTCAGGACACACACATAATGAACCGGAGAAGATTTCAGGCTCTTTCTTTCAGCTCCTCTAACTTACTCTGTGTCTGACTTCGCTCCAGCCGGATCTTTGCAAACGCTCGTCATTGTGTTTTCCAGGAAGCGTTTCATTTGTGCAGCGATATTATGAAACCTCCTCCAGACTTAGAAAAGCGCAGTTTGGAGCGAAAGGCCTGATTCTGCCTCCTTTGTGGACGTAAATAGGTCTGGTAGTTTCTGACGCTGTCAGGCTTTTTAATAAGTTACACTGTAAAAACACAAACTCTGTCCAAGTCAATTTGGCCTAGATTCTACAGCAAATATCGTGAAATAATTATTTCTCTTAAATCATATAAGTTAAATAATTTTCCAGTGGAACTAGAACTTTTTCATTAATATTAAAACAAACTCTAATATCTTACTGAAAAGTTACTTGTATGTTACTTTTTACCAGGTGAACAATTTCTTGATATTAACTCTATAAGTACTTCACTTATAGAGCTGTTACTGTCACTGAAATAATCTGCAAATTAAACGTTTTCGTCAGTACTAAGGAATTATTCATTTAAAAAAACTCCGAAATCTGAAAAGTTACTTGTCATCTCATTATGTCCTATTTGAAGTGTGTTAACTTATTTACAATACAAACTGGAGCAAATTTATCATTTCTTATTTCCTTTATCATTTTTGCTTGTTGTGTTTTATTTTCAGTCTGTAAAATGTCTTCCAGTTCCAGCTTTGACGTCTTTTGTGCAAAATTAATGTAAAAGTTTATTTTTACAGTCTGTTGAGACTGCTGATTCCTTCTCGCCTTCAGTTTTCTGTTTGCGCGGTAATAAGCTGCTCAAAGTTTTTTTATTTTCTCTGCAGCCAGCAGAGGTTGGACACACCTACTCAGTCTGAATTAATGGCCACAATTAACCCGAGTGTGGGATGAGGGGAGGAAGGCCGACACGGTCACTGTCACGCCGCCTCAGCCGACATGCCGAGACGCTGATTTGCTGCGTCAAAGTGCAGTTTTTATGTTGAGAGAAGCAAACAATAAAACTTCATTTGTTTGCAGTCTTTAAAACGACATGAAGGGCTCTTTTGTAGCGGAAATGTATTGATTTGGATTTTATTGCCTCAGTATTTATCAGGTTTAAGGAGCTTAATAAAAAAGCTCTCAAGTTCTCTAATTTTACTGAAACTAAACATTGTTCAAGAAGTTGAAATTTTTTAGAAAAAACAAAGAGATATGCTGATATTTATGTAAAAAAGTAGTGAGAATATCACCTTTAAATTTATGAATCACAATCAAAACTTAAGGTTTCATCAGAGGCGGTTTTGCATATTCTGCTTAAGCGCGCTCATGTCGATTCCTCCTCGGGCGAAGGCTTGTGAAGTTCATCCATGATGACGTTGTTGCAGTGTGAGCACTGAGCAATGCCTGACCTTTTGCACATGCATTACACAAAGGTCAAGTTTGTGTGCGGTGGCGGCCGCCTGAAGAATGCGTCGCCTGGCTGGGCGCAGCTTCACAGCGGGGGTCCAGTTACAGTCCACAGACACTCATGAAATTAAAGTAAAAACATAAAAAATTGTGTGAAAACATTAAACAGAAGTAAAAATGCCTAACTGAGGTAAAAATATCTAGAATTAAGCTGTAAGAATGAGATAAATTTCATGTTTGTTAGGTAAAACTTGTCCTGCTAAAATAGTTTTAACCAAAATGCACAGGAGGGAAAAAGTAAAACAAAATTTGGGATAAACAAATAAATTTAGTGAAATTTTTGTACTTAAAGGCAATTTTAAATATCAAATATTTACCATGTTTGAGCATTCAGCTGATGAGTATTGCTGTATTTTATTTCACTTTAACCAACTCTGAAAGTTGAAAATAGTTTAAATATAAACACTTTCTTGTTTTAGATCAATTAGGATTATAAAAATTATTTATTTCTCAGAAAATGTCAGATATTTATTTATTTATTAGGTTTACATACATTTCCTCATATTTCCTCATTATTTGCATAGTTGTTTTTTGTGACGATGCAAAAAACGTTTAGCAAATCAAGCTAATGCGATTTTTTTATTGCCACCATGACTTTTTCTGTAAAACTGCAAAAATAACTTAAAATTATTCACTCGCGTTTTGTTTCATGTAATAGTACAAATTCACCAAACGATCTTGTTTTCTGTTAAAAACTGATACGCTTTTATCTGTTTTAAAAACTATTTTTGTAAATTACATGTCCTCATACTCATGTTTTCAGTAATTCTCCTTTCTTCTGTCCCTCCAGGTCATCAAATCCGACACCTTCAAACAGCTGAGGCACCTTGAAATCCTCCAGCTTTCCAAGAACCAGATACGGCAGATTGAAATCGGGGCATTCAATGGCCTCCCTAACCTCAACACTCTGGAGCTCTTTGACAACCGCCTCACGTTGGTGCCAACACAGGCCTTTGATTACCTCAGCAAGCTGCGGGAGCTGTGGCTGCGCAACAACCCCATTGAGACCCTCCCGAGCTATGCCTTCAACCGCGTGCCCTCCCTTCGTCGCTTGGACCTGGGAGAGCTCAAGAAGTTGGAATACATCTCTGATGCGGCCTTCGTGGGCCTCGTCAATCTACGGTACCTGAATCTGGGCATGTGTGGGCTCAAAGACATTCCCAAGCTGACGCCTCTGGTGCGTTTGGAAGAGCTGGAGTTGTCGGGGAACCGTCTGGATATCATTCGTCCGGGATCCTTCCAGGGACTGGTGTCTCTTCGGAAGCTGTGGCTTATGCACTCACAGGTTTCCGCCATTGAGCGCAACGCCTTTGACGACCTGAAAAACCTGGAAGAGCTTAATCTGTCCCATAACTCACTGCGCTCCCTGCCTCATGATCTTTTCACACCCCTTCACCAGCTGGAGAGGGTACACCTCAATCATAATCCCTGGGCCTGCAACTGTGATGTACTTTGGCTTAGTTGGTGGTTGAAGGAGACGGTGCCCAGCAACACCACCTGCTGTGCCCGATGCCATGCTCCTCCACTACTTAAGGGCAAGTACATTGGGGAACTTGACCAGAGCCACTTCACCTGCTTTGCTCCTGTCATTGTAGAGCCTCCTACTGACCTCAATGTCACCGAAGGGATGGCTGCTGAGCTGAAGTGTCGTACAAGTACCTCTACAACGTCAGTTAACTGGATTACGCCCAATGGCACGCTGATGACCCATGGGTCTTACCGGGTGCGGATATCTGTTCTTCATGACGGCACACTGAACTTCACAAACGTCACCCTGAGGGATACGGGCCAGTACACCTGCATGGTCACCAACGCTGCTGGAAACACCACAGCTACCGCCGTTCTCAATGTATCTGCTGCTGACGCTAGTGTCAACTACACCTATTTCACCACCGTTACTGTGGAAACGGATAACGGAGGAGATAAAGATTATGCACAGATATCCATTGACGAGGCCAGCATTCCCATTCCTTCTGACCTGTTGCCAGAAGTGGTTCCTACCACTGCCTCCTCTCTGGCTGGTGGCTGGTCGTCCTCCTCTCCCCGGACAACTCAACCCACGTTCACTGTGCCATTCACAGAGCCGGGATTCTCTGGCCTGGACGATGTGATGAAGACCACCAAGATCATCATTGGCTGCTTCGTAGCCATCACCTTCATGGCAGCAGTGATGCTGGTGGTGTTCTACAAGCTGAGGAAGCAGCATCAGCTTCACAAACACCACGGCCCAGCTCGCGCCATTGAGATTATCAACGTGGAGGACGAGCTGGGGCCCGGGGCAAGTGGCCGGGGCAGCGGTATCTCCGGAGGATCTACTGTGACACAAAGCGCGGGCGGTGGAATAGGCGGGAGCCAGAGTCTTCGGTTGCACCACCCGGAGATTGTGAACCTACCCAACCTGGCACGATCGGATCACCTCAACCACTACTACAAAACACATCACTTCAACAGTAACATGATGGGCCTGGGAATGGGCACGGGGCCAGGAGTGGGCCTCAACAACAACAACAACCCCTCGCCGTGCTCTCAGTCGCAGAGCATATCCTGCTCCCAGGTCCCTTCCAGCACCGGTGGGGGGACGACCACTGGTGGCACCCTGCCCTCCACCCTGCCTCAGCTGGGGCTACATAGCTCTCTGAAAGGCCTGATGGGAAAAGGCCAGAACGAGCCGCTGCTTTTTAAGAGTGGCTCAAAGGAAAATGTGCAAGAGACTCAAATCTAAAAGGATTTGAGGTAAGACAGAGTAGATGTTAAAGAGAGACCATTTGAGAGTGATTGTAGCCCAACGTCCTTATGGACAATCCTTAGACAGGCTCTACATAACCTTTATTTTGTGGTGGCCCTTTGTTAACAGATAGTAAGACAAAAGGAGACAGTAGACCAGTCCCACAAACAGCATTTGCACAGTCCCAAATGTCAGAATTACTCATTGCGTGCAGCGTGATACGGTCTTTGCCAAAGCTCGAGATCAAGCCTTTTCTCTCGGCGGACAGATGTGAACAATGCGGCGAGCCCTTCAAGGATGTATACAGATTGCTTCGTACATTTCCAGATGCATTCAGTGTATATATTTGGAGGGAGACGTGATATTGGCCATTGAACACGTTGTCAGATTAGTGTTTGGCAAAGCCAGGGAATAAAAAACAATGATTTGTGCGGTTCCAGGTTTTCAGAGGAAGCGAAATAAGAGCAGAGCAGCAAGGTCGCTTGGAATATTGGAGGAACAAAAAGCGGTTTTGCTCTTCACTTTATCACTTCTTTCCAATTTTACACCTTACTGGTTACTGTCTGCTTTGGGAGAGAGGAAATATCATGAAGGAATACAGGACGAGAAAAACTGAAGATACATATTATATATACGGTAAATATATTTTCATTCAAATAAATAATGAAAAATCTTTATCAAGCAAATGAGTGACCACGACGACGACTGAAGAATATATATATTTAAAAAAATAATTTTTAAAAACATGCCCTCTCATTTTAGTGGAACAACTGCTGGTTGCTACTTTTCCAAACTGCTCTTCCTCTGGATAAACGAGAAACAGCGGAGTTACAATGCAAACCTGGCAAAAACAAACACAAAATTACTATTATTTTGGTGTTGACTCTTTTTTTGTAGTCGTTTTCCCTATAGAAACAGGGTCCTTTGAGAATGGAGACGTTCTGCTCTCTGCTGCAAAACCACAAACACAGCAAATATGGCGGCACTAACAATAATCCTGAGCGTAATAATGACAACAAATTCAGCTTTATTTGTCATATTTAAAATGGTGAAACATTGAAATAACTTGACATGCTGGTGACATTAATGTTGCTGTCATTGTTGCTCATGTGAGCATTATTGTTACTGCTGGAGCCCACAGGTGACGGAGAAGAGACGTTTTTGCATTTGTACATGACGCTGATCTCATTGGGCAGATTTAAGAGAACTCATCAGCAAGAATTGACCCGGCTCATAAAATGGCTTCCTCCACCCCGGTTGACCCTGGTTGAGCCCGGTCGACCCCGGTTGACCCCGTCCGACAGGACCGTCATGCTGTCTGACATTACGGACGAAGACTGCACCTTTTTGCAGACTGGATTTGATGGCAGCAGGGGGCGAAAATGGATGGACATTTTTATAAAAAGGTAAGAGACTCTGGTCTGCTGGAGGCTGAGTTGCATTTAGTGCAGAATTCAATGGAGGGTGAATTTTTTTTCTAAAGAAAAATGACAACTAAATGAAAAAAAATAGAATCTTATAGATCTCTTTAAAAAAAATGAAACAAAATTATAAGTGTTTTTCATTCTTGGTTTTTATCTAGTTTGATTTTATTTTATTTTTTAAATCACGTGTTTATTGTAATATTGTTATTATTATTATTATTAGCTGATTACGCTGAAAGATGTTCTGTTAGCAGAGGTCACTTTGAAAAATTAAAAAAAACTTGGCACATAAAAAAAAGGCAGTTGAAGTTTGTGAAAATTCGGTGGCTGTTTCATTTTCATTTCTTTCCTCTGATCGGCTCTAATCGCGTTTCTGTAGCGAATGTGATGATTTTTTATTTCTTCTTTTCTGTTTACATTTTATTTCTGCACAGAGGGACAGGAAAAAAGAAAAGGCTCGCCGTGTACATTTGTGAATGTCATCGCTGACCGTTGTGCTGGGAGTGTGATTCTGCTATGTCAACGCCTAGTTGCCGTGACAACGCACTAATGCCCCCCGTTTCACCCACTTGTTTGTGGCGCTGCTCTGAAAGGCGCCGCGTCTCGGGGAGGCGGCCCGTTCTCCTTCAGCGGCAGCAAATCAACCTCAGCATTAGAGCCATGTCCTCATGCTAAACACCCTCTTCCTCCTTCTCCTCTTCCTCCTCCTCCTCTTCCTCCTCTTCCTCCTCTTCCTCCCCAACCCTCAGCATCCTGCCATCAGGTTTCCCTGGCAACTGTTGCTGCTGCGACAGCCCCTTATCACAGCATCTTGATTTGGGTTTTGAATGCTAAGCAGATGAGAGCAGACAGTTCAGAACTTCATGTTTTTTAAATGCACAGTGATCACCGTTTCACACCAATATATTTTAGCAAGCTGCTAACTCCCACATATTTACTTGCAGACGAAGCTGCAATACAGCATTAGCTGCCTTACAGACAGGTGGAAAAACAAAGACAACTTCAGTTTAGACAAAGAAATCTTCCAAATATTTGATCTTTACTTCTTGTCACTTGAGCATCACGTTTATTTTCTTAAATGCTTAAGGTTACAATGGCACAAAGCTAGCTGCGCTAACCCTAAAGCACTAATCATAAACAACATGCAGAAGCATTAGCTTCTGCTTTAGCATTTAGCAGAAGCTAATGCTAAAGCACTAATAATAAATATTAGTTCTGCTAATGCTACAGCACAGTAGCAGCAGCTAATGCTATGACATTAATCACTAGCTTAAGCACAATACCATCTTAGTATTTAGAACAAGCTAATGCTAACGCACTGCTAAACATTATTCCCACTGGTTTAAGTGCTTTATAAAACCATGATTTTAGCAGAAGCCAGTGCTAAAATGCCAGACTCAGCTGTGGTGGTACCATCTTGTGTCAATGTCACGTTTTGAACTGTAGTTATGGCTCCAACAACAGGATCAAATCACTTTTTCATACCTGCCTGTGCAGCTGTTTCAGGAAGTGATTCTGTGGAAGTCATGGTTTCAATTTTATAGTCGTTGAGATTTCCTGAACGTAGCAGAACATTAATAGATTTTAAACCATTTACTGGAGAACTGCAGCGATGCATTCTGGGTACAGCATAAATATCCAAGCTTCTTTGTAAGTTTAATAACCAGAGGTGGGAAGAGAACCCAGAAGCGCTCAGGAGCAGCACCACTTCAACGCATTTCTACTCAAGTAAAAGTAAAAAACGTATTTGGTAAACAATCTGATTGATCCAATTATCGATCATTTCATATTTAAAAATTACATCGGAAATATAAAGTTGTGTGGGAGTTTTGGTGTTTTCAGGACCAAAATGAAAATAAACCTTATAATAAATGTAATAATAAAATAGCAAAATAAGGCAAAAAAAAAAAAAACGTTACGTTTTTGCTAAACGTAAAGTTTAACAAAAATTCTGGTGAATTTTTGGTTTAAACATGTTTGTTTTCATCCAGTGGGTAGAAAATCCAGAAATTTTACTCAAGTGAAAGTAGAAATATCTCATAATACAATTATTCAAGTGAAAGTAAAGTACAGTGTAGTAAAAAATACTCCTAAAAGTGAATTTTATTCAAAACTTAGAAGTAAATGTACCCAACTCTGAAACTCTGAGTGCAGGTAAGACACTGTCTCCTCCTAAACTCTCCGCAGAACCCCACTCAGAACATTTTAATTTGCATGCTCCATTGCTAAACAAATTTATGCACCTTACACTTGTGATTAACACTCATTCTCTGCACAAGCTATTAGCATTCCCTTCTCCCAGCACAGGGGATACAAGCCCCCCCTCAAAGTTATTTCCATATTCATCTGCCTGTGTGTGCAAATAACAGAAATTATCACGCGGGCACGCTCCCGGGTAGGGATACGTGTGTAGCTTTCTGTCAGTATTTGTGCGCATCACAGGCTAAAAAAGCGGATTAGGCCGTGGATTCGTGCCCCGACGGCTGCAGTAGCTGATGGCGTCTGTAAGCGCTGGGCTGCCCCCTCAGGCGCCTCTGAAGTGGCACAAACCAGAGGCTGGAGACACGCAGTATCACATTGCTGCAGTGTCTGAGTCACGGAGCAGCGAACACGCTCCAAACTGTCTAATGGCAATGCTGTGTTTGCTGTGCAGGAAGTCCCGCGCGCTCAGCAAAGAATCGCCAGAATTGAGGTGTTTGTTGCAGGGCTGAAAACAAACCTGTTGTGTTGCTGTGTGAGGTGCAGGAATCTGAACATTTAGAGGTGTTAACGGCACAAAGATGCTGCGTTTGAGGTTTCAGGTGGCCTTCCGCTGCGCGGGAGGAGGGCGCTGAGACCTCCATTTTAGATCCCAGCTCTCACTCTTTGCTTCAGGCTAATTTTTATGATCCTCTCACTGACACTTTAAGTAAGGACAGGATATTTTCCCCTGCTTAAGCTGCTCCTCGTGGTCTGCCTCTGCACAGAGTCGGATAATCACTACTCACATTTACTCCCTTACATTCAGCTGACTAACTTCTGGAAAAAAAAAAACTTTTTACTGGAGTCATTTTATTGTGAAGTATTTCTACTTTTACTTGAGTAAAATTTCTGGATTTTCTGGCTTCCTGGCTAAGCTGTTGCCTTCCAATGCAATTGTCTTTGATTCTCATCTCCGTGCTGCACTGTCTGGGATTTCTCCCATTCAATTTGATTTCTCTGACAGAATTTCAACCGGTCAGCAAACACAAGAAGTTTTGATACCAGTTTTTTGCACTGTTTTAAAATTTTAGTGTGCCTGTAGTTTTAGCGATGGCAGTGTAGGATGTGAATTTTGGAATAAACATTAGCTGTGTTTACATGGACCATACAATTGTGCAAATTAAAATTCCGAAAATAAATGTGCTAAATGACAACCCGCCAATTTGTTTTAGTTTTTCGAGGGCAGATGTAATTTGAATTGAAGTTAGCTCTTTAGCATTAGCTTTTGCTAAGTATTATGGTGTTTTCAGAGGTATGGAAAGCGGTGTAGCATTAGCAGAAGTATATTTATAATTAGAGCTTCAGCAATATCAGCATGAATGTTTAGTTATTAATGCTTTAGTATTGAGCAGAATTAATGTTCATTATTAGCGATTTAGTGGTAGCAATGCAAATTTTTATGAATAGCATTCTAGCATTAGCAGAATGTTCATTATTAGCATTTTACCACTAGCAGAACTAATGTTTATGATTATAGCCTTAGCATTAGTGGAACTGAAGTTTATAAGTACTGCTTCAGCGCTAGCATAGTTAATGTTTATGGTTAGCACTTTAGCATTTGCAAAATTCATGTTCAGCATTAGCAGCTTACTTTCAGCAGAACATGTGCTTATGGTTATTGCTTTAGCATTGGCTGAACTAATGTTAATGATTAGCTTTTTAGTGTTAGCAGAACTGATGTTTATGGTTGTTGCTTGGGTGTTAGCAGCTACCTTCTTAGCTATCAGTGCTAACTACTGGTGTTGACCCTGTTGTTAGTCATAACCTTGCGTATGAAAATGATCTGAAGCTGCTCCCTTACAGTCGGCCAGGTCGCGTTCCAGCCTTGTTCTGGCCAGCAGCGCCACAAACCCGGCGCCGTGTTTGAGTCGGCCCCTGAGGGCCACTCTGCACACGTTAACCTCGGCTCCATCATCCTCTGTAAGCCCTGCACAACTTAATTTCTTTTCCGACACCCCCCACAACTCTCCTCTTTGAAAATAGCAGTGAAGCGATAGCAGAGCTTAATGCATTATTGATACATATGGTGTCAATGATGCATGTGCTGAGGCAACGGCGCTAATTTTCTCCACATTGCTGGGCCAAGAGCATCAAACCGTCTGTAATTTATATGCATCGTTATTGCTATTATTTTTCACAGCCCCCTCAGGAAGCGCGTTGGAAGCCAAACGTTGCAGCTTCTCTTCTCACATGACGGCTGCTGTGACTCTGAGACGTGCAGGAATGTTTTCTGTGCCACTGTGTCACCTAGCAGTCACCACCGTCAATACGGCAAGCAGTTTTATCATAAAATCTGCTTCAACACACTTCTAGTCCAGGTATCTCTCATTATATTTAGACTAGAAAAACAACCTAGTTAAGATATTTCTGATTAATTACATTCTGACTAGTATAACTGACACCATGTTTAATGGAAGATTTAATTCAAGATATCGCTTTTTATTCTGACTAGTCATAATTACACTTCAAGGTCTTAAATGTATTTCAGATACATAATTAGATTAGGCTGGTTCAAGTTAAATAGTAGATGTCTTGAAAACAAATAATTAGGCAAAACTAAATTAGCGATACAAAGAATTGTAATTTTGACGACTCAAATTTCATCTAAAAACATATTTAGGTATTTTAATGGGAGCTTTTCTATTTCACATGGATTAAATTAACATTCTGGGGAGTCAAAATGACAATTTTGATATGGTAAATGATTATTTTCATTTATTTAGTCAAAACATTATAGATTTATGTAGAACTTTTAGATTTTAATAAGGTTTTTAAAAAAATAACGATTTTTGTAAATAATTCAAAGTGCAGCATGTTTTGTCAGAGGTGAAAAAATATGAGATTATTTGTCATATTTCTGAAACAGTCTCTAGGTTTACAAAGTTTAGCATTGTCTTTATCTTCCAAACCTATTTTTCTACATTTTAGCACTTTCTGGCAATTATTTGGACAGCTCAGAGGCAGCAGAAGGGGCTTAAACGCATCTTAGTTCAGACATATAACTATTTTATTTTGACCAATTAGACGGCAGAATATTAAGCGACGTACTGAGAAAAAAATAAGAAACACAATTATGAGAATAAAGTTGTGATATTACAAGAATAAAGTCAATAAATGAGAATAAAGTTATTATATTGTGACTTTATTCTTATACCATAACTTCTTGTCATTAAATGGTTTTATTTTAGCTACTACATGTCGTATAATAACGTTCCACACGTCTAGAAGTGTAATAACTACGAATCCGTTGACATCATGCACAACTTCTTCCAAGGGATTTTGATTCATTAAAATGTAATTAAAGATATTTTGGATTATTGTTTTTTCTAGTCAGAATGTGAATGCAGAAATCTTAAATTACTATTCGTGATAGTTAAAATGCATTCTTGTATTTTATGATGGAACGGCTTGCCATACGGCTGCGGTTCATCGCCGTCATGGCGCCTTGATGCTGATTTGATGACACCAGTTTCTGTTTCGTGCTCCGGTGGTTCTGCTCAGTCGCATCATGCCAAGGTGTCCTCAGGTTGAGAACGGCCGACACTAACGCATGACTGGAAACCACGCCTCCAGTCACAAGGCGGCCATGATGAGAGCATGATGAGAGCAGAGGCGTCTCCGCGTTTTTTCCCTTATGGGGCACAAACTGTAAGACTGGCGCACCAAGATTAACATTTTATCTAAATGCAATGCAGAGTTGGTGAGATACTTTATTCTCATATTGTTTCTAGTAATAAAATTACAATAACATCGTAAAATAAGAATAAAGTCAAACAAGAAAAAAAATCAAAATAATACAAGAAAATCTTACAAGAATAAATTAAATGATTCATGTGGGGTTTTATGAGGATGCTCTACAACTTAAGATCGTAACATGAGAAAAAACTCGAAATAAGAATTGAAGATTAATCTCAAAATTTCTGAATATTTTTAAAGTAACTGCTTCAACTTTTCAAACAAAAATCTCTAGAAAATTTCTCCAACTAAATTCAGAATTCCTGATTTTATTATTATTTTGAATTTTCAAACTCAGAAATGTTCTCATTTTTCTAGGAAATCTTTGAGATTAATCTGAGTTTTTTTTTTCAAACTAATTTTTGACTTTTCAAGCTCAGAAATTTCCAATTTTATTCAGGAAATTCTCTGAGGTTAATCTAAAAAATTCTGAGACTTTTTCAAGTTAATTTTCAACTTTTCAAACTTTTGTTAAGGTTTTCTGTATTCTTTTTAGATTAATCCAAAATGTTCTTAGTTTTACTCCTTTTTTCTTCGATTACCCAACATGTCGCCGCATTAGCTTAGCCTCTGTTGCGTCTCCTTGTGATTATTTGCATTACAGGGACATATTTCCTCCAGAACGCTGAGTGATGTCAGACTGCTGTTATCTTGAACGCCTCTGTGTTTTGCAGAAACCCTGCAGCCTTTGTGTTGCTGAAACTTTGTGATTCCACTGGGGAAGAAAGAACAGCAGATCTCGACATGTTCAAACGACGCCTGTCGCTCTTGGAGCCTGAAACATTTGGAGCTCGGTTTTCACCCAGCATGCACCGAACCACTGATTTTCTTTCGCCTTTGCGTTTGGAAAACAATCTTTGCTGTTGCAGCTGTTGTTGGGATGTGGAAAACACTCTGTGGGATTTTTACTGGAAGGTTTTTGAAGCAGCCTGAACTATTAGCGATGTGCTGATCCAGCAGCTGCGCTCCTCTCAGAGGACGAACTGACTTCCTCGCTGCGCCTGGGTGTTTTCTTCACTCGCTGTGTTTGATGCTCGTTTGGTGGATTCAGATTAACACTTTCAAACGGAGAAACCTGAAGCAGGTTGAAGTTTGACAAATGCTTTAAAAATCCCCCAGATATCCGATCGATCCATCAGTTGATTACGGAGGGAATGTCGACTAACTGCAGACCAAAGTATCAAAGAAAATAATTTCAGCTAAATCTTCCACAGAACAATGCATTTGTAAAGAAAAAATACAATTGGCAGATAAAAAAAATCAAGATGGCCACTGAGGAAAACATATCTGTGAAGTTTGTCGAGATTTATCACAAATGGATGTGATTAGACCCATAGAAATCATATTTAGTGACGCCGCCCCGTATCAGCCCCTGCTAGCGATATTTCATAATAAAGTTTCTCAAGTAAAAGTAAAAAGTACAGCGTAGTAAAAATCCATTTTTAAAATAGAACTACTGATGTAAATGTGAGTAAATATAAGTATTTTCTGCCAAACTCTGGAAATGAGTGTTTTTAATCTGCGGTTCTGATCCGAGTGTTCGGGTTGCGCAGGCCTCAGCGGCCCGGAGGCCAGCGACCCCCTGCCTGCTCGGGTCAGAGGCCGTTTGGTCTCCGAAAGGTGAAACTGGAGCAGAAATCATCTCTGACCCAGATAATCCTGCTCAGCTGAGCTCCGGATCAGGGTCGTAGAACCGCCATCCAGACGTATCCGCTCTGGGTTTCTCTTTGTTCTCCTCTTCCTGTGGTGTCGGCCGGTGAGGGAGGCCTCTTCTCATGAATATTTGTTCATTTATCGGCTCTGGCCTCATTTCTCTCTCCGTCTCATTCCGGCGTGACACAAACGCGCACTCTCACCCCGGAAGTGCACGAATCGCCACGAGCAACGCGCGGTTGGCATTGCGCCGCTTCATTCCCCCAGTTTCTGTTTTTTCTGCTCGACTCTGGTTGTGTTTATCACGCAGCAGCCTGTCGCCTCGGGCTCCCGCTCCACAAGGCCGCAGGAAAACGAGGGACAACGGAGGCACAAACACGGAAAGAAAGGGGCAGCAGAATGAAAAATGACACCGGAGGACAAATCGGTGCTTTATGTTGTTATGAATCTGCATCACAGGCGATTTAATGCCATAAATTAAAACATTTTCATCTGAGTGCAGGGCCGGCCCAAGCATTTCTGGGGCCCTTAGCAGATTTTCACCTGGGGCCCCCCATACCAACATGTCAACACCAGATGCTTCATCGTTCCTAAGCTACTCTATGTAAAATGCTGCTATCATATTTAGCTTAATTTATCGTTAGCTTACATCACACCAGTGCTACTGTAGCAACAAACGCTAAAGATTTATATTTTGAAATGCAGAGTGGTACTTAAGTGTGCCATATTACTTAGTAATACTAATTTATTGTAAAAAAGTTAAGTTTGATAACTTAATATTGTTTGTGTGACATTTATAAAAAATAATATATAAATTGCTTTTGCGTTTAGTTTGTATTATTCAATGTTACTTTAGATATATTTAAATCTATTCTGACAATCAGATAAAAATGGCTCATTATTCTAATTTTTTATTTAAACACGTAATCCGGTTTTAAACTAAATTAGTTCATTTAAATAAATAATACAATTCCCTTTTAAATAAGAAAATAAACATTTTATTGCCTAAAATGCAATGACATTATTTGGTGAATCTGAACCAAATGAAGTTAAAACTATTAGCACTGCTGGAGTTTTGTCTAAATCATATTAACACCTGATAATATACATATATTATAGTTTTACCTTAATTACTGCTCTGAATAATTAAGGCAGGAATTATTGTGGGTTTTTTTAGGCAAATTGCCTTTTTTGATTCTGTATTTTCCAGTTAATGATTAATCAGTTACTAAATTAGTTGACGATTATTTCAGTAATCAATTTATTGTGATTATTCCAATTAATTCAGCCCTAATAAAAATATATATAAATCTGTAGGAGGAGGAGATGTGATGAGCCAGAAGGGGAATTATTCCTCTC